TGAACGGTCAAAAACCTGCGAAGAAAAGTCTTAGTCCTCGATGATTCAAAAACGCAATTTTGGACGAGTTTTCCATAGGCATCTTGTCAATAACCGCTGCGGTAGGACTTGTGCACGTATGTACTTATAGCACCGCTGCCTATTTCTATAAATATCTCCACTTCATATCTTACGTAGCAAATAAAGCAATACGAGCATCAGGAACGGTCGTCCATTTGTGGGCGGGCGGGCGTGGTGGGCGTTCGGGTCAGGTATGTTGTAGCTTGATAGGGCCTCTTATGAGGGTACCTTCCTTGGAAAAGGCGCTACGCAGCGCCTGTCCAGAGTCGCGGATCCGTCGTGCCAGGCGTATTAATCCTACCCATATTGAAGGTTTATCGTGCCAACTGCCTTCAGGACGCATATGAGAAGGTCGTCGACCGCTCCCGCTCTTCAAGCTCACGGTGTCAACGGGAAGCAAGTTCATCAAAAAGGTTAGAATTATGCGCACCATCGTTGATTGCCGTCTCTCTTTAAGTTTCCATTCTGTAATTTGAATTAGGATCAGGCTCTTCCTGCTCTTTCTGAAAGAGACGGTCTCCCCTTCCCTTCTCCCAGCAGCAACCAACTACGCCCCCCCCCCCTTAAAATTCTCCTAACGATATGGATAGCGCGAGTGAAGCAGAAGCAGACCATCCAAAAATTCCTCAGGTCCACATGCGACCTTCCGTTGTGGCTCCCCAACGTAGGCTCTGTCTGTAATTTGGCAGAATCGTCTCAATAACATGCTTTGACTAGCAGGCACTGAAGAAGGCAATACTGCCGAAACACTGCCCGCATAAATATTTGCTTCGGGTTACTAAAAAAACACATTTCAATGTTACTGTCGCCATGCCGAGATTAATGTAGTGTCTATCTTGAAAAAAAGTATCGTCACTCTTCACTTTAAGCTCTTCTGAAAGAACCACAGGTTTCCTATAGACATGGACTTTACTATTGGTCTTCAGTGATGACATCGAGACATGCAGATATTTGCCGTGTAAGATACCCTTTTCCTAAAAGACCAGTGATCCATAAAAAGCCAAAAAAATGGGAATCAAGCAGCAGGTGTTCTGCCTGTTATTCCAACATGATGTTTTAGGACGTTTGCCGTTTGTTCAACGCGCAAATTGAACATTTCTCGCGCAAACAGTGGAAGAGCAATCTCTGGTGAGTGGTATGAGATGATTTCAAGGGCTATTGTTAGGTTGATGGAAAATAGAACGAAATCAAAACATCAACTAGTGAGGGCAGTTGATCTACATCTCGAAGGTATCCATCCTCGCAGATAGATCTGGCACCAATTTACCGCCCCCCCTGAAGAGTAGAAGGCATGTCTGGCTTGAGCAGGACCCGTTCCTGGAGTTAACGTGAGAAGGCTACCTGCCACTACATCACTTCCCTCCTCGGGAAGACATGATACGTTTAAGCGCCCAAATTCATGGTCCGAACAGAATCAAATTCCCGGCTTTGATGAGTAATCGAGTAATCCCACGTCAATTTTGTTTACGGAATGCGACTGTTGCGCTGTGTACATCTGTGCAAACAGTATATCATATAGTATAAAGAAATCACGGCAAGGTATGAGCTCCATACAGCCATTGTTCCACTTCTCTTCAGTTTCATGGTTTCACCAATCCCATTTTCACGTTTCACCAATTCCGAGCTTCGCTTTGATCTTTCTTTACTCTTAATCACATATCACCTTTCTTTTCGTGGTTAGCTTTTGTGACAGGTACGCATGGGAAGAGCTTGTTGTTTACAACTTTGTTACGAGTGTCCAGGTAACAAAATGTCATACTCGGTAAAGGTGGAACGTGGACCTTAAAGTCACGGTCTGCGACCAGGTAGAGAAGTTGGAAATATGGCGTAAGGAGAGTAGTGATTCGCGGCGAACAACCTTGTACCGGTTGGGGCGCTTATAGTGCAATATAGGTTCAGTGATCGCCTCCAGACTCCGCCTCTAAAGGCCCACCTTTCTTTGAAAAACGAGGCTGCGGGACCAAAAAGCGTGAAAATCGACACTTGTAAGGTGGTAAAGTTCTTATCGAGGAATCAGCTGTGCGGATGAAGGCATGATGTTAGGAGTTAACTGGGCATGTACAAGCTGGGATCGGAACGGGGTTCTATTTAGGACACTCGGCATACTTTGTTCTGCTTTTTTTCTTCACTGTCGAGTTGATCGGCACTTTGTCATCTATACGCAAATCCCTAATCTGTATGGCGGATAATCGCGGGTTCCTTCAAGCAATGGTCATCAGGAATACCGTATCCATTTCAGAATGAAGTGTTTGCTGACATTAGTATTAATTGGTTCTGCACTACCACATCCTGGCCCCAATTCTTTCGGTCAGGTATGTCACTAGGTTTAGTTTGGGAAGTGAGGTCACGTGTATAGGATTACTTTTCCTTGTTCCCATTTCCACTGTTCTAGGGGCAAAACGTCAACACCGTTGGAGGTGTAAGTGAAAATCTTTTGAACAGACTCTCTCGTGAAGCAGCCTGGTCCTATGGCCAAATCATCCAGGCAAGTCTGCACCATCATCACTTCTCATTTATAAAATAACACGATTTGGTTTTCAAGATGTCACATTGTCAGAACGAGTCGCGCTGCGTTGAAATGCGAGCAATATGTACCTGGTCTAAGCATGAGCAGTAATATATAGTTAAAACAATATCAGTGAGCGCACAAAGCCGCATTCGATGAATTCCTGCGAGGTATAATATGTTCAGCGTTGAGGGTGGACAGGTTCACTGACATGAGACGGAGACCACATCCGAACTTGTGACCTGGTCGCGCGAGACAAAGGCTCGTGATTTTTTGAGGGACGAGAGAGGCTCCGACTTGTTATGAGGCTCTAGCCTGATAATTCAGAGCGTTTTACGAAGGCGGTACGACTCTCAAAAGTGGGTCTCACCCAGTAGGCGGGGCTTTCAAGAGACGCTTGTGAAGTTCTTTCGAAAAATTTTCAGATGAAAGGATCAAAATTCCCCACAAAACTTTCGAAGTGAGCACGACCAAAGTGGCAGAGCTCAATGAGAGGATATAATATCCTTCTCATTTAGAGGGTATGTGCGAACCGGCGAAATCACAAAAAAGTCGCAGATGCAGAAGCTACGAAACGGAATTTGAAAAACTATGAATGCTTCGAGAAGTGGGCGTGGCTGTAGGGACGGTAGTAGTGCCCAACGTGGTTCGGCTAATTACTTTCTCTGTTGGAAAATGTGTTTAACTTCGCGTTGGGAACGCCCGATAGAATATAGAAGTCTCCGATCTAAAGGGAAGACGACATATAAAAAGGAGTAAGAGGGGCAGCGCTTCATGATATGAACTAACTTGCATGTAAATGGGGTTAAAGTATGTACGTAGACGCCTTATTTCAGCTTAATTTTCATATACTTCCAAAAAACATATACTATGTCAACGTTCTTTCCTTAATAAGTCAGCCCAGCTCGGTGAGCTGTCGAAAAAAAGTTTCCCGAAAAAAGCCGCGAACACCTAAGCCTTCTGCTTTCAGAATACATCACAGTCACTTGACAATCTCAAGACAGCCTTGACGAACTGGGCGAAGCAGTATGGAATTCAGGTTAGTACGATTTCCCCGTGCATTGCTATTTAGAGTAGGTAATCTACACTCTTTCTAGAACGAGTACCAGAAATTTGTCGCAGACATGGAAAAGGAGAATGCTGATTTCAAAAAAGACGTAAAGGATTTGATGCCCAAACTTACGACCTATTTCACTAACTATGTGAAGATTATGGACGATAAGGTAGGAGAGCTTTTTTCACTCGTCGACGAATCCTCTGAAACTTCTCGCTCAATGAAGGGGAAGGCTTAGATGTTTCAATCAGTACATGGAGTAACCCTCCCTTCCAAGTCGCGAGCTTTCATCGGTTACTGATCGAGTTCACTACAAAAGGAAGTGATCAAGTTAAGCTACCGTAGCTCATTGCTGCCATGATTACAACACATACAGATACGTAAAATTGAGCGCTTCTGGCTCGCAGGGAGCATTTGGCTCTATTGCTGCTCCTCTTGTTAAATAATAAGTCTCTTTGGGGCCCATAAACTTCACTGAAACTGCGAAATGGAGCGAGTGAGCGACTTTTGTCACACAACTTCACAGGTCTTCTTAGAGTGGCCCGCACAACCTTAGCTGGGGCCATTAGGTGACACCACCAAGCCGAAGTGAGCCTAAAATTGTTATGAAATACTGTTACCTGTGGCCACTATGAACCCTTCACTGCCTTTCACCACTTTTTTTCGATGGTCAATTTGACCGGCAACTTCTTCCCAAAGGTAGCTCCACTTCGTGAACACGAATATCGCATCCGCTTCTCACGAAACTCTCCTGAGTTTCCGTGTCACGGCGCCGGGCGACAAATCCTGAAAATCTATACAGACGTTCCCTAAGAAATTGTCCAGGGGCTAATGTGAACCCCGTAGAACCAAATGCCGCATTCACTTGCCACGGAATAAGGCTAGGCGCGCGCTACGATACTTGTATCGAAAAAGGTGGGTGGCCGCTTTGCGAAACGTGCGTCAGACGCGTTTTAGTGAACAAGTGGATGAAATGGTTTCATTTCCTAAAAGCCTCAAACTGCCACATGAAGAGAATTTTTCCGGCGAATCGACTTTCGAGAAAAAAATAGGTCACAAAACTGAGTTCTGAGAAACTAGAAGTCCTAAGGATGTGTAAAAGGCGGGCTAAATAGCTCCCACAAAGTTGTTTCTCCACACCGAAGCCACTTGATTTACAGAAGCAGTCGGATTGCAAACGCGTTCACCAAAATAACCGATCTCGCCAAACCGCTCGACGATAAGCAAAAAGCAATCGCTGAATATATAACGAAGCTTTATCTGCCTTCAGTGGGCGATCGCAGGGGCTCGTGCCAGGTGAGTTCACTCCATCCGATGTGCGGCAGTAAGCTAAAAATGGGGGCCCTTGAGAACATAACTTGAAAATATTTAGATAATAATGACATGAATGGAGGATACCCAGGTAGCAACAGCGGCTTTAACGGAAATAATGGCGGATTCGGAAACGGCAACACATATCCATGGAACAACAACAACAACAACAACGGATACCCGAACAATGCTGGATTCCCGAATGGCAATACATGGAACAACAATGGGTACCCGAACAATGGTGGATTCCCAACATGGCAATACATGGAGCAATACAGGGAACAAGAACAATGGATACCCGGGAAATAACTACGGAAATCTTGGAGGATTCCAGGGAGGCAGCAGTGGCCTCACAGGAAATCAAGGGGGGTTCAACAATGGTAATGGAGGATTTCCTAGCAGCAGCCGTTCAACTCCCAAATGGAAATGGATTCCAAGGCAATAATGGTGGCTTCCTTGGAAGCAACGGCGGGTTTTCAGGGAACAGCGGCATTTTTCCAGGGGGTGGCAGCAACAACGGTGCGCCCCCTTCGGTGGTTCTGGACAGCAAGGATTAAATAACGGTTTTCCTAGCAATCAAGGAAGTAACCAGGGTTATCGGGTGGACAGTCTTCCCTTCAGCGACCGCGCCTCGTAATGGCTTTAGCGGAAATCAGGGGAGCCAGCCTATGTTTCCCTCGAATGGGAACCCATTTTCTGGTGGCAGTAACGGACTTCCAAGCAGTGGCTTCCAGAATGGCCAAAATCAGAAAAGACCCAATGTTTGGTCAGGCACTCAACTTCAAATAAGACGAACTCTCTCTAGTAGGAGACGAGGATTGTATCTCGATCACATGTATTCGTGTAATAAAAATTGTATCCTAGTTGTAAGCTCTTGATCCAGAAATTTTTCCTCTTCAGACCTTTCCCGGATGGTGAGCGTTCAGGTGTAAAGAAATAGGAGCATGAGAAATGGGATCGACTCTTCATTGCCATATGACTACGTTTTACTCTTAGACTGTGGACTTTAAAGAGAAAAACTTGGTGGACTTCTGGCTTAATTTTTTATTACCTTTCCTTATAGAGGATTAACTGCACTCGAGGGACGAGTATGAGGGAAGAAAACTGAAAGAACAGCAGCGGCCGTTTTATTGGTGAGATTGTTTATACTACAATGGGAACAAGGGTATCCCCTGCAATTCACAGAAATTCGCCGTTCGCAACTTGTAACGATGAATACAGTACTCCGCCTGTAGTGGTCTACGTGGTGACCACTAATCAAAGGTTATCACAAGAATGCTGAGTTGTGGGCAAAAGTCGTGCCCCAGGCGGGAGTCGAACCCGCACCTCACGCTTTCCGGGCGAGTGCGCTATCCGTTACGCCACCAGGGCCGCTTTTACCCTCTCAGCTTAACGGCTTATGCCGTAACCTTACAGCACTCACACGTTTAACTTGGTGAGAGGGTAAAAGCGGCCCTGGTGGCGTAACGGATAGCGCACTCGCCCGGAAAGCGTGAGGTGCGGGTTCGACTCCCGCCTGGGGCACGACTTTTGCCCACAACTCAGCATTCTTGTGATAACATTCGGAACGCGTACTGCGGCGTTAAACAGCAGTTATCATAACAAAACACTAATCACAGGCTTCCCAGTTTTGCAAATTAATAAATAATAAGGCTTGGCGCTGACCACTACGTGGAGAGTGCTACACCGCCCACACCTTTTTGTTCCGGAAACGTCTGAAGCAGGTTTGAGTTACAAAAAGAGTTCTTGGATGGTCACTGCATTTCTTGTGAGCATGAGGGCTTTAAAGAGGAAAAGACCAGTTGATTTGGCAAAACTGCGATTTTCCAGTGGTCAGGTTGTGATGTGACGCCCCCTGCCGCAGTGCCGACTCCACTCAGTCAGTAATTCTGCAGTGCTTAGATGTTTCCGTGACACGACTTCCCTAAGATTTTGCCTGTTTTTTGATACTCTGATTCTGAAGAAATATGTTCACCGCCGGTACGGGAGATCTCCTTATCCAAGCATTAGGCTAGAGTAGTATCAGCCAAGGTAAAGCGCATCTCAAGGCATCCGCGACGTAGGGGTCGTCTGTGGTCTGCCGGCAGTCTGCTTCGATTACATACACTACTCACTCGTCGAT